GGTTGGACATTACTTGAGAAGTCAACTGGGAAGCTACTGAAACCTTTGAAGACTTTGTAACTACCCTCTTTCGGTTTCCTGTTTCATTTGTATTGCAATAAACGTGGATCCCGGCAGGGTCGTTTCTGAAAGAATGTACAATGCTAATTTAAATAATCATTTATCATTCGTAAAGTTTACCACGAAATGGGCAATTACTGGGACACGAAGCTTACTGAAATTCTACTGTTGTTTACAGTGTAAGAAACTGAAACCAACAGTAATGAAAGCATTGTAACAATACATTATACTGAAACTAGTATGTTTATGTACACGAATATCCTGTATTGATGCAGATGCAAACATCTTTAAAAAACAAACAAACAAAAAAGAATTGCATTCTTCTGTTTTACTTCCCGTCCCTGCCTTCCGGACCTGTCTCCAGCTTAGTTTCGAGACAAGCTAATCACCTGTCGCCAATCACCAGTCTCAGACGCATAAAGTGTCTCCAACTGACCTTTTTAAATCATATCTTGTGTGTGGTTAGGGTATTGATCCATCTCTATCTAGTTGGTAAACTTCTTTATTTTCTGAATTGCCGCCTTCCACGTCGAATGAAATTTTCAATGGCAACTGCAGAACAGAACTGGTTTAATTTGCTGGTGGTGGTGCGCAATCGAAATCGTGATTCGTCACGTCACGCCACGTCATTTGTTTTACCAACTCGACTGTCACGGGTTTTTGACCTTCACGGTCCGATATTCCCAACCTCAGATATGAAACGGAAATAGAGTGTGCTATTAAATTTCCTTTATGATGTAATAATTTCACTGCAAAGGATGATGGTGTAGGGGTTTTTCCCTAGGACGTTTCCTAGAAAAAGTGTTTCGTTCCTGCATGCAAGTTTGTCGCTGTTCTTGGAACTTAGAATAAAGAGCTTCAGGTAAGATGATAATAAACGCAGGCATCCTGTTAATACTAACGAATAATAATAGTGATATCATCAACGTTCGATACTTGACTGCTACTCGTTCTTGTTTGTAACTAGTTGTAATCTATAGACTGCAATTGCATTTCAGTATTACACATGCGAGGGTTCAAGTTACACAAAACGAGCCAAAGCTGGTTCTATAGTTGTCCTATGCTAGTCTTTTCAATGAGATCGAGCTACACTTACCTTGCTCATTTTGGACATTATGGAATAAAATATATATATATCTTATTGGATGTTTTGGTGTGTAGTATCGCTGTATATTTTTACGAGTTGTGCCATATTTTGACGAGCCCGTAGGGCGAGTCTAACTACAAACGAGTCAAAATATAAAGCGATACTACACACAAAAACATCCAATAAGAGATTTATTATTCAACTGCTGTAGTCAATAAATTTATCAATGAAAGAGGGACAGTGTAACAGTTTTGTGTGCGCGCGCCGACCTGTAAGGCAAATAGGTTTTCTACCGTACAAATAACTACACTAGCGCCGTATGTTTCTACTGTTATTTGGACGGTATTCGCTGCAGTTGGATAATAATAATAATAATAATAATAATAATAATAATAATAATAATAATAAGTTTATAATATAATAATAATAATAATAATAATAATAATAATTATAATCGGAAATGTTTTGGGACTGATTTCTAATTTTAATTAATTAGATTTATCCAGGTTGCAGGTGTCATATAATTTCACAGTAACCGATCCGGTAAAGTTCGATAATTCATTGTGGACGTTTTAGCACGACGGGCTCACAACATTAAAAGTGTGTTCCTTTCTCAGCGCTTTAATGTAGCACAGATCGCTAGCGAGGTCTTGGGGTCGTCCTAACATCTCCCAGTTATAATTATTAGTCACGGCCTTCCGTTGTATAAAGAGATTCGAACATTGTAAAGAGAATTCCTGTTGCTTTTAAATGATGCACTTTCCTTTAAACTTATCTGTGTTGTCTTCTTGTCATTTCTTGCAATTTTACAGCAATCTACTTTTAGGCGTTCTAGCGACAGCGTAGTGGAACTAACTAGTGAACGTGTTACGCGTCTGGTGGAATTAGTTGAACTTCTATGCAGAGGTCGAAAGCATAGTTAACTTCGATTTAAGATTTCGAGTCAGAATTTCGAGGCATGGCTATTTTTTAGCGCAGTTTCGCTCGGCGAAGCCGCGCCAGCGGAGTACAATGGATTAGCTCGACTGAAAACATACGGAGGAAGAGCCTTTGAAGTTTACAGTGGCAGCACCGAGAATAAGGAATACTATTCCGCGCAAAATTCCTCTTCGTTCCATACCTGACGTTACTAATCGAACCGTTCGGTAGTCGAACTCAATCGAAATAAATCGAACGATTGGGTTCGATTAGTTCGATAATCGAACAAAATCGAATCCAAAAATTTGTGTGTGAGAGTTCGATTGCGTTCGATTTCCGAATTAATCGAACCCAATCGAACTTAATCGAACACAATAGAAAAATCTTAAATTTACCTTAATACAGCCGATAATTGAACAGTCTGTCTAAGTAAGAGTTACAAATGAATAATTAACTAGTAATATTTTTATTGATGTATAGACTTTTGGCATGGAAAATACATTGAAAGAATAAACTGTAAAATCGCAAAAAAAAAAACAAAAAAAAAATCCCGAAACGTAAAGTTAAACTTATCGAGAACCTTAAATCAAATTGGAATACAGAACACGTTGAAAGAAACCGAAGAAATAAGCGACTATATAAGGAGTGGCAACCTGCGGGACAACTTGTGAGCTTTTCTAACAGTAATAAAATTGACAAAAGCAGTTTCCTCTCAGTATTTATTCGTTGTTCTGGGCTAAACACCCTCGTATTCACCCGTTATTCGCATACAACATACCCCCATTTCCAGCCGAATGTAATAGACCGCAAATTTTACGACCGTTGCTTTTCAATCAACATCCATCCTCAAATCGAACCTAATCAAACCTAAACGAACCCAACCGTACTAATCGAACTTGATCGAGCTCAATCGAACTCACTCGAACGTTCGATTGCGTTCGATTGGTCAAATTTTTTTTGTGAGAGTTCGATTGTGTTAGATTACCGAACTCAATCGAACCCAATCGCGTGATTGCGTTCGATTAAGTTCGACTGACTTCGATTAATCTAACATTCGATTTGGTTCGATTAGTAACGTCGGGAACATAGGGCCTTGACTGCGAGCCTCCATCGTTCTCGATCTTGAGCTGTCTACTTCGCCTCCTCCCAGGTCATGCTGATGGTCCATAGCTTTGCTTGCAGAGTTCTTTTCCATGTCAGGGCTGGTCAACCTCTTTTCCGTTTCTCCTGAGGGTTCTAATCTAAGGATTGGCGGTTGATACTGATCTGCCCTCTGCGTACGGATTCCACTTTCTGTTCTGGATGTTGACGGTGATGGGGTTCAGCCAGGAGCCATAATCGAGGACGGAGACCGTAAGTCTTGGGATCTGCGCGCACCTATGCTATGGGACAATTTTTCTATTTTTAGAACAAATTGCGCCATCCTGACGTCATATATC